AAATTAGAACAAAACATGCCAGCAGCAGAAATGGAACCTCGCGCGTGAATAGCGTGAATGGCACCCCTTAGCCCGTGCTAACGACTGGCCCTCCCTGTGCATGGACGCAATTGGGTCTAGCCGAAATGCAAATATGCTAGATAAGCCTAAATCAGCTTAAATCTTAGCCCGTACTTCGTGTAACGTGAACACAACTATAGTACAGAACAATGGGTCACACAAACAAAAGTGGTATAAAGTCACTGTTGACATATGTTGTTTTGATCTAGGTCGCTGGCTTGGCTGAGAATAGACCATCCATTCTGAAAGGGGATGCATTATTTGCTCAGATCAGAACTGGTAAGAACAAAGCTGATTTGGACTCGAAGACGTACAAAGGCTACGTACATCAGATTGAAATGATACATGTACATATTGGATTTGGAGAAGGGTACGTACCACGTTTGTGTGATAATTCAGAAACTAAAAATTATGTAAATGTATCTTCTAAAATTTGAGATAATTAATGAAATCACAATTCACATTAATTATATAATTTTGGATCAAATGGACTTCATTTTCTGATTCTCCAATGGCAAAGAACAAAACCATATGCAAGCATGTTGGCGGCAAAATAAGAAAAAAAAATAGTTTTATCTAAATAACTAATCTGACATACAGCACTAATAAGGCAGAAAATGATAGGAAAAGGAAAACATTCATGAAAAACAAAACTGCAGAACAAGTAAACAGATGAAGTAAAACATGAAGCAAATCAAACTAAAATATACGGGAAAAAAATCCATGCTAAAAACAATTGAAATTACAAAACACAAAGTTGTGACAGGTACATTGTATAAGCGAAAAATGAGCTGGCATGATTGTAAGAATATTTGAGTGGATGGCTGGGTGGGTGAGAAAATGACAACGCATGGTCAGCGTGTGTTGTAAACTACAATTGCGCATGCGCAATGAAGAAATGAAACAAACTAACAATGCTACTGGGGAAACACTGCATATATGCAAATGTTGAACTGCTTACAAAATACAACACTCATATAGTATAGATTATATTGTGGAAGATGGCAGAATTTTGACTTCTGTGTTCAAAGGATTAAAAATATGTCAGTGGTATTAGAAATCTGTTTTACTCTCTGGTCTGCAAGTTAATTAGACAGGTTTGTTCGATGTTATTTAACCTCAAGGCCTTACAGTATCGCACTATTGCTCCATGGTAACTGTAACATATCATCTGATCTTATCGTATTTATTTTATCGATCTTATCATCCTGAACATGGAAAATTGCCAAAAAATAGGGGTGGGCGTTTGCCAGGATATTCCCGGCAAAAAAAACGAAAATTCTCGAAAATCGAATACGCAGATCGAACTGCAGCAGGGAACAGAACGGCAAATGAAAACATGCAACAGAAATAAATGAACAATATGCAACACTAGAAGTAAAACAAAACTAATGTATTGCTTATAATGTGACAAATAAACCAGAAATAATAAAAATCAACAGCGAGAAATTATTTGAATCAGGATTTTCCCGCCGACAAACACACCCAATACGTGTGAACTCAAAATGAATTAAAATGTCAGGGGTTAAACTGCGTAAAATGATTTCCAGTCTCGATAAATTACGAATCAACTGTCTAGTCATACAAGATCAATAATAATTTACAAGTTTACACAGTAAAAATTCTAAAAATTCATAGCTGTTTGAAAAAACTTCTCAGATCTTTATTTGTATGTTCATTGCCATCTTCGTCAAACTCAAAACCCTCCAAGTCGGCGTCAGTGTAGCCGTTGAACAAAATCCCTACAACTTCTTCCTGAAGTTCGTCGATATCATCCCACACAATTTGGACTTAGCACTTTTAATCCACGGATTTCGCAGTCTGTCAGCTTGGCACTTTTCATTCATGTCTAATCACAATAAAGAGAAAAGAAAAATGGGGTCGCTCTGCTGCGATGGCACACAATGCTTTTGTTTACAGTCTGGCAATCATCTTTGACCTTTATGCATCTGCTTTACTGATTGGCTAAGAATAACATCACTACTAGTATTTCATCATGCAGGTCAAATCGTGACATTGCTTTCTTATCAGACTCGCCGCTCATCAATCACAGTAAAAGTTATGAATGAAAGTTATTGGATTAGTTTTGGGTAAAAATCTGCAATATTAATTACCTAATTTGCATAATGATTAATCAATTTTCGGTTTTTCCACTGATATCTCAAGTACTAATCATCACATTTCAATAAATATTGGTACATAGATGTCATAGAACACTGCACAAACCTGATAGTTTTTAGGGTAATATCAGTACATATTAATTACCTAATTTGCATAATTAATTAATTTTCAGCATTTGATATTTCAAGTAGTAATCAACACATTTCAATGAAACTTGGTACATAGTTACTTAAGGACTGTGCAGACCCCTGATTAGTTTTTGGGTAAATATTTGTGCATATTAATTACCTAATTTGCATAATTAGTTAATTGTTTATATGAATGTTCCACTCATATATAAAGAACCACAAATTGGATTTTAATGAAACTTTTAAAGAGTACTCATCATCACAATTTAATGACTCTAGAACTATGCAGAAACCCAATTAGTTTTTGGTAAATATTTATGCTTATTAATCACCTAATTAACATAATTAATTAACACTGATATCTCAATTACTGATCATCACATTTGAATAAAATTTGGTACATGAATTCTATAGGACAATAGGGCTGATTAATTTTGGGTTAAAATTTGTTCATATTAATTCTCTAATTAGCATAATAATTCATAATTTTTTTTGTTCTGTTCTGTTCATATTAGTTACCTGATTTACATAATTAGTTTTCAGTTTTTCCATCAATATCTCAGGTACAAGTAATTTTGAATTATTTTTTAATGTGTCTTCAATACTCTCAGCACACAGGAGTTCTTTCTAAGCTTTCTTTGATATTATAGATTATTGAAGCGCTTCGTTAATGGTATGCTGTTTGATGTACAGTTTACTTTCAACCGACTGCCATTGAAACTGCAACACCGAGCAGTGGATCAATGCAGCAATAAAAAACTCGGTCTCAGTCCTGTCTTATTTCCGCAACCATTCAAACTTGATTATCGTTCGTTACTCAGACCACTGCTATCATCAATCAGGTAATTGCAGTTATTTGAAATATACATTCATTAAGGCCAATATATTCATAATTGACCACAAAGATTGTGAAGGTTTTCAACAATAACTTCAGTTATTTTATTATCCATCATATAATAATATTGTGTATTTGTGTCTGTGAACTAGCTCTATTAGAAGTATGTCTGTAACAGAGATGACTGTAAGCAGGAAATATTTACAACGTATGGGAGGGCACCAGTCTCAAAATTATGCATGCATGCTTTGAAGAGAACCAAAATTTGTTTCTCTTGTACTTCACTAATTGCATTTTGAATAAGATCTGGTTTATATAATTGTTGATTTTTATCTTTATTTAACATTGATCTCTGCATTTTTCATTAAATGTGGAATTTGAATTATTCTAGCTTATTTGATCGTCAGTTGGAATGTAACACACAGCAAGTGTCTGCTGTGAAGCATATACTTAGTGGTTCATCAAGACCATCACCTTACCTTATATTTGGACCCCCAGGAACTGGCAAGACTGTCACAATGGTAGAAGCTATTAAACAGGTAAATATGTTTCATGTTAATTTAATGATTTCTTAGAAAGTATATCACTTTGTTCACAAGAGCCGTTTATGAGACAGTATATTTAACTGGTGATCATTTTAATTTGAGAAGCAGCTATTGCAGTATCTTATACAGAGATGAGATGTGGACATGTTTCCTGATCTGTTATCAAATACTGCCCCCTAGTGGTGTAAGACATTAGTTACTGCACTGCCCTCGGTGGTGATGATGTGATTCATCTGATTAAGGAATTCATTCTTTGTTTCAAACACATAATGTTTTACTACAAATTATGGTGTATTTTCTAGGTATATAAATCTCTCCCTGGTAGTTTTATCTTAGCATGTGCACCATCCAACAGTGCGGCAGACTTGATTGCTCAGCGATTACTGAAGAATACGCCTGTTGCTAAGTCAACTATTCTAAGATTGAATGCTCTGTCAAGAAACTGGGCCACTGTAAACCCTGCTGTTAAGGTATGTATATTTATTAAACTATTTATTATAAATATTCATGGTGTATATGGGCTAGGAGTATATCAACTAATTCAGATTTTTGTTTTATATGAATGAATGCATAACATATTTTCCACTGCCCTTGTTACCCATCATGGTAATAAAATACTGGATTAATAGACATAGTTGTAGTTATAGAGGCCAGCACACTGTGATGTCACTTATCTGATCGAAAATGTTGTGCATGGATTCGCTTGCAAAACACAAGTATGGCCTCCCTAATAACGCTGTCACTTTGTTTTTTTTCCCATCAGGATATTTGTAACTTTGATAGGGCTCAGGGATTAATACATTTTCCAGATATGGAAACAATGATGAAGTATAGAATTATAGTCACCACACTAGTAACTGCAGGAAGGTAGGTAGTTGTGTAATTGTTTGTTGAGATTATTTTTATATTTTCCTCTGATGTTACATGTAATAAAAGTCAATATATTGTGCAATTCACTAACCAGTGAATATCCATACAACTTTAAATCTATTAAAATTAAACTTTTTGGGTAACATTATTTAATTTTTTTTTTTTTTTAATATTGTAATTACACAGCATTATTTTTGTGTATTTTTTCTATAATTTCAAATTTTGTCTCAAGATTTATCAAATTTCTAATAAATTTGCAACAATAAATACTAGCACATAAAACACCTATTTCTTTATGACTAGTTTATATGATGCAAGCATTGGATCTGGATTTCTTTTACTAACACAGACTGGTTACGGCCAAGATCCCACAATCCCACTTCACTCATATCTTTATTGATGAAGCTGGACACGCTGTAGAGCCGGAATGTACAATAGCAATAGCTGGTTTACTGGATGTAACAAATGACAAAGGTGGCCAGCTTGTGTTAGCAGGAGATCCGGAACAACTGGGACCTGTACTGAGGTCACCAGTGGCGGTCAAGAATGGTCTAGGTAAGTCAATTCTTGTCATGTTTGTCCTACTTTCTGGGACCTGTACTGAGGTCACCAGTAGGCAGTCAAGAATGGTCTAGGTAAGGCAATTCTTGTCATGTTTGTCCTACTTTCTGGGACCTGTACTGAGCTCACCAGTAGCGGTCAAGAATGGTCTAGGTAAGGCAATTCTTGTCATGTTTGTCCTACTTTCTGGGACCTGTACTGAGGTCACCAGTAGCAGTCAAGAATGGTCTAGGTAGGACAATTCTTGTCATGTTTGTCCTACTTTCTGGGACCTGTACTGAGGTCACCAGTAGCGGTCAAGAATGGTCTAGGTAAGGCAATTCTTGTCATGTTTGTCCTACTTTCTGGGACCTGTGCTGAGGTCACCAGTAGC